CCTCGGATTCACTTCTCCGCACGTCCTACCTTCCAGAAAGTGGTCACTTTTCTGTTCAGAGAGTTGCTGCTACTCTTTTCTTCGATCTCCTGTTGAGTTTGTAGGTGTTCAGAATGGTTTGATCCCTATCTAGCTGAATTCCTGAGACCAGAGGAAATTTAGGTCTCCTACTCCTCTGCCATCTTGCTCCTTCTATGTCTGTGTTCTTGTGAGGGAAGAAGCACCTGCTATTGTGATATCTCTAGTCTACCTGTGCTAATAGCCTCATGGGCGCGAATCTCGTGTCACCCTGTCCACACTGACAAAATGAGACGGAAAGTCAGAGCCTCAGTAAATCACCTGTCATGCAAAAATGCAGATCCTGGTGGAATGTCGGGGATCACCTAGTGCTACAAGAAGTCTGCGTGCTGTTTCCTTCAGAGCAGTGTCATCGGAGTGGACTGAGGGAGCAGCGTCTCAACAGTCCTGGTCATACGATCCCCACTCATGTAGCAGGTGCTGGAATGAACTTGGTATAAAATAGGGGGACACCCCACCCACAGCCTCACAGTATGTTTGACAGCAGGAGCAGGCGCAGATGGATATGTCCTTTCCATTAGCTGTGGCCCTCTGGAAGTGAGCAAAGTCAGCTGTGGTTTAACTGTCCTTATTTCATCTTCCAACACCTGAGCCACCTCTTGCACAGCCCCAACCAGCAGGGGCCAGTTTGACTTCAAGCATTTTCCACAAATCAACCACATTTGACAGAGCACATTGACAAAACGAGCCTGAGAAAGTAAAGCACCATCACCACACCAGCGCCCTCCTGCCCCCTACACTGTCTCCTGCACCACCACCCTCCCCCTTTCTGCACCTCCCAGTCCAGGCAGCCCAGGTCCAGTTGGGGAAGGAAGGTGCTAAGGAGTTGGAAGCCACAGGAGACACTGCCTAGGAGCCCCAGCAGTGACTCAGCCCACACAGCTTTAGGTCTTTTGCTAGTTCTCCTCTGTGCCTCTGTGCTTTCCACATGCAGTAACAGGTCCAGATCTCTCAGTAGAAGCTCAGAAATTTGTCCTAAAGAAGTCTGATCACATTCTTGAGAATCAAGGAGTAAATCGAAATTAAATTTCCATTTTCTTGTATCTGATGGGTCTTAGGTTGTTTCCACATGGGAACCTCTACTTGGTTTCCAACAGAATGTTTCACAGAAACTGAAGTTGATTGTAAATAAACAAAAAATCCCTCCCAATTTTAAATGAGACATTGTTTTATTCTAATATATAAAAACTTTTACTTTTAAAGATTAATTTGTAAAGGAGAAAAATAAACAATCATTTATTTCTTCACCCACCAACCATGCATTGAACATTTTGTTTTATACTTATGTTTGTAGAAATATACACACACATATAAATGAGTGTCATACTTGTTAGTGTTATTACTTGTAGAAATAATGCTCAAAAGACTGGACAGATACTGCACAAAAAAAGAAATAAAAATGGACTCAATGTATGAAAAGATGATTATCCTCATCAGAGAAAAGCAAATTAAGATCATAATGAGATACTATTTTTCACCTGTCACATTATGAAAATCGTGATGTTTGACAGCACTTTCCTGACATTCACCTACATCATGGAAGAAGTGTACAATGTACTATTGGGGTAAGTTGGCAATACCTGTCAAAATGACCAGTACATATGTCCAAAGTGACATAAAACAATATTATAATTTCAGTATATTTTATGATAGTAAAAGACTGGAAATAATCCACTGGTCTATCACAGGGAACTGATCTTATAAAGCATACAGTCACCAATGAAATACTCTGCAGCTAAGTGTTCTTTTATATTGACATAAAAAGAGCACAAGGATATGTGAGAGGTGCAGAATAATGTATGTCATTACTACCTATGTGTTAGAAGGAAGAAAATTAGATCTATATGTATTTATTTTTTTATATCTAAGTTCATATTTGCCTAAATAAAAATTGGAAGGATGGGCAAGAAACAAAATTGTGACCTATAAGTTGTGTGCAAGTAGAGACAGTTGTTGGAGTAAGATTTTGTAGTTCAGTTTTTAGAGAGTTTAAATTTTGGAACCATGTGAATGTATAACAATTTTAGTAGGGTCTTGCTGTGCATATTTCTTCAGCAACACTTTCTTTTTTTTAAAGTTTTTATCTATGTAATCTCTACACCCAATGTGGGGCTTCAACTTACAACCCCAAGATCAAAAGTCCCTCGTTCCTTAGACTGAGTCAGCCAGCAGCCACCTCAAAAACACTTTTCTGATTAATTTTCCATTTCTTCAACAATCTACATTTTTGTGTAGATGCATCCTAGTCCATCATACATCATTTGTTTTATTTTATTTTTTAGCTTCTTATTGGGCATTTGATTTAATTTGAGACTGTTGTAAATGGTTCTATGGTATTGCATATAAATCTTAGTGCATACCATAAGGGTGTGAGTGTGTGCAAGCAGGCGTGTCAGCTATTATTTCTAAAGTAGAGCTGGCAACAGTAGATGCTAATGCTGTTGAGGACTGGCATGTACCCAGCAAAATTAACCCATTTCATCCACACAACTCCAGGAGACGGGCACACCATATCTTCATTTTACAAAGGAGAAAATTATGGCACAGATATTTCAAATAGCTATAGACTCAAGACTTAAACCCAAGTACTTGGGGTTCAGAGTTCAAGCACTTAACCCCTCCACCACTCTACTTTTCCAGTGTTAGTGGGGCTCTCATGGGGTTATTGTGAGATCAGGAAACATGGGTCTGAGCACACCAGCCAGTCATGCGACATGTTATACTATCGCCACCAGAATGTCTTAAACCAAATGAGTCTGAATCTCCTTTCCTCTGAAGGAGAAATAACCTGGGCACCTTCAGTGGCTGTGGCCCCCTTGGCGCCAGTGCCCCAAAGAAGGCATCATAAGGACTATCTCAGGGAAAGATTTGAAATGTGGAATTGACCAATATTACAACCAGTACTGAATCTAAAGGCTTAGTTGTCATGCTGTCCCTTACTTGGACTCTCAGTTAGATTGTGCCAAATGAAGGTATGCAGAGGCCAAAGTAGACTTTTGATTGTTTTTATTGTGCCTATTATGAAAGCGATACAAAATTCAGGTAGCAAAGATTGCAGCTTCCAGATGTGTAAAATAAAAGGTTTCGAAGCAATTATCTGGTTAAAGAGCCCCAGGAGATACACCTGGAAGCTGTGCATTGGCTAAACTCAGGCAGGGGTGGCTCTGAGGAGCTGGTAGACATTAAGGAGAGAACAGTGCTGAAGCCCCTGTGGATGGCCCCCTGGCCCCACCCCTGAGTCATGGCAGAATTTGTTCTTGCTGCAGATTGAACTTTTCTGCTTGTCCAATGGTTTGTAAAACCATTCTGCAATAATGACACAATAGAAAGAGACACCTGTGAACTGAAATAACCCAAACCCAGAAAGCCCTGCTATATTCTCAGATGATGTTTTAGGCGACAATAGCCAATGAAGACAAGTGGACCCTGGGTGCCACCATGTGCTAGGAACTCTTCCCATTGCCACAGAATGCTGGTCTCCCAAGCAGATAGAAGGCAATGATGGTGGAGTAAATCAGGTTCTTGAAGAAGAGGAGGAGGTAGATGTAGTAGGCAGAGGTGCTCATGAGCTGCAGCTGCAGGGTGTCTAAAAGAAGTCATTTATTAGTTTTACCTTCTGTTCTTTTGAAGGGCTAGGACTTATTAATGGGAGAGGGGTCACATTATACATTTCTGATGACCTAGGTTGAAGTGACACTCCGCCAACAACACAACCCAACAGTAAGCATCTACACCACCAGCACCACCAAATCACTCAGAATCCAGCTTGCAGGTCAAGTCAATCAACAACATCAGAGATTCACTAAGAACATTCCAAATTGTTAAAAAGCAAGGTTATATCTTAAATGAATGAGTCAACCTGAAAAAAACAGTGGTGAAAAATAGCTTTTACCATTTCCTCACCCCCACCATGTCTCTAAGTAATAATAATTGCTAATATGCTTTAACCACTAACTAAATGGCAGACTTAATTTGAGAGGTTTGTGTGCAAAGCTTTAATCTTACTTAATTTTTCAATAACCTAGGAGATTATTATTTTCATTGTCATTTCACAAATAAATTGAGAACAGAGAATTGATCTGCCTGATGTCATACAGTTAGTAAGTACCACCAGCAAGATTTTAATGCCAGCAACATAATGTTCTAGAACACATTCCTACCTACTCTGTATTTCTGTACCTCCACGTGTAATAAATACTCCCAATAACAAAGAGTTAAGCATAAATATAAAGGTGAATTGCTGATTTAGAAGCATCTTAGCCACTACACCTTGGGTATTACTGAGATTCCTATCAAGGGTATGATCAATGGAAATTTGGTTGTGCTCAAGGTAGGGTGGGTGGGAGGTTTTAGTAAAGAGGGCATTAGTTGTGATAAGCACTGGGTAATGTATGGAAGTGTTAAATCATTATATTGTCCACCTGAAATTAACTTATGTTAAATAACTGAAATTTAAATAAAAACTTGAAAAAATAATAAAATAAAGTGGAAGAAAGGGGCGAATCCAAATTCTCTGCAACTTTAGGAGGTCAAACTCACTCCCTTGTCTTTCCTGAATACCTTCATTGTAGCTATGATGTTATATGATAATTGCATTTTTTATCCTTTGAGGTTTTGTAGGAAATATATGATGTCAAGAAATAATTAATGACAACGATGGTGGGCAGGACTGGCTATTCAATGAACCACTAGGCTGTCTGTTCATCTGGAAATTTCTTTTTTTTTTTTTTAAGATTTTATTATTTATTTATTTATTTTTTTGACACAGAGAGAGAAAGAGCCAGAGAGCACAGGCAGGGGGAACAGGGGAGGGAGAGAGAGAAGCAAGCTCCTAACTGAGCAGCGAGCCTGACATGGGGCTGGATTCCAGGACCCTGGGATCATGCCCTGAGCCAAAGGCAGATGCTTAACTGACTGAGCTACCAAGGTGCCCCTGGAAATTTCGTTTATGTGTTTATCTTGTAAGAGTCAGAACTCAAGAATCATTAGCCCTTGCTGTGGAAAAGGACCTCGAATGGTGCTGTGCTCATAACACCTCCCTTGGGTCAGGTAATATGTTAGCTAAGGTCCAGAGACTCCTTGAGATTGGACATGGAGGGCAGATCAGCAGGGTTAGAGTCAACGCTCCTTGTAGTTTCTTGATATATATATGTTGGGAGAAAGGACCAGAAACCAGTACTTACAATGTGTCAGCTAAATGAGATACCCTATGCTAGATATTCCACATATATGACATTATGTCTTCAATAACTGAGTGAGGCGTTATTCATGTTATTCCTGGTTGGCTCAGAAAATGTAACTGCTGTACCCATATTCATGTAGTTAATAATTAAAAGACTGGGGTTAATATCCAGTCTGTGGCATTTGAAACCCTGCACTCATGTGTGCACCTGTCTCAGGGCCTTGGCTTTGGGATTTAGAGAAAGAATAAAAACTGAGTAAAGTGTACGAATTGTTAATTCAGGTCTGGGTTGAAGCCCCAGATCTCACTGTGTGGCACAGTGCAAGGGACTTAATTAATTTTAGTTCATTGCCCTCATGTGTCAAATGGGGAGTGAGTATTAAGGGAATTAAACAAAATGCACTCACAGTGCAGCACAACGCCTTCTGTATGAGAATCTCTCAGTGTCAGTTCATGTTATTAATCACCAACAAGAACAAAGACTTAAAGATATCTAAAAGCAACTTGATACCATGTTTTCCTCAGTCAGTAGAAACAAAGGCCACAGAAGTGAATGGAGTCCATTGTTGAAAGAATTCAGAGCACATCACTGCACCCCAAATTTATAGTCCTCTCACACCCAAACCAGCATTTACTGTGTGAAGATGACTCCTGAGAAATGATGGATTGACTTAAATATCACTCAGTCTATTTTGCAAGATACAGCCATTCTGAGATTTCTCCCTGAAGCCAGGGAATTTCAAAAGTTAAGGTGATCAGGAGGAAAAAATGCTATAGCATAACATAAAGGCAAACGTAGACAAAATCTTACCATTTTCATCTTTCAGAGAAGCTTTTGTAGACTTAATAGCAGTGAGCTCTAAAAGAAATGAGAGCAAGTATTATTCAGTTGTTCATATCCATTATTTGACATGTGTCTGTGTTGTGGATGGATTGATAGATTGATCAATCGATCAACTGGTAGAGAAATTTTGTCAACAGAAGGAGAGAACCATTAGTAATATGAGCACCACAATTCCAGAACTGATTGTTCTGAGTTTGTGTAATTCAGTAGATCAATTCATGTAATTTATTTCTGCACATGAAGATATTGAAGTTCATGAATGATACATTTTTTTCTTCTTTTCTCACCACTGGAGGGTAATGTCTAAGACTATCTTGTTTTCCTTCTGTGCTCATAGCTCCTAGCACAGAGCCTGCCACACAGTAGGTGTTCTATAAATACTTGAATGGAAAAATAACCAGGAACATTGGCTGCTGTACAGTCCTCAGCACCTACTGCTGACATGAAGGGAGGGTTGCTACCAAAATGAATTCATCCAACCCTAGAATGCACAGCAGAATCTTAAATTTTGGAAGGAGTCTGGAATAGGTAAATTCCCCATCTAAGCAATAGAAAGAGGTCCTACCTTTCCAAAGCACACATGTTCCCAATATCCCCAACTCTTGCACATGATTTTCTGGAGTGGTGGTGTTTGTGGACATGAGAACAATACTAATGAAAGCCAATACGTATTGAGTGATTATTACTGTGCCAGGCACTATGTGAAAGGTTCACATGTATTAGATCGTCTGATTCCCTAGTGACACTGACGTGAGCTGTATTCATGTTAGTCATGAAGAAATAAGGTTTAGAGAGTCTAAGTAACTTGCTGGGAGACATACCAGTGATTGGCAGAGCCAGCACTCAAAGGACTATTATGGGGGTTTAAATGAGCTAGAGCATGTAGAAAGTACCTTGTAAAATAATCCATAGAAATCGCACATAACTCCACCATAGTGGACTCTCAGGTATCATTTCTTCCCCTATCTTAATTACTCTTAGGAAATGACCTTTTTATTATAGAAGCTCAGTGTTTCAGTGTGCTTCTTTCCAGGGATAGAAAGATTGGACAAGTGATAATCATAGTTTTCTGAATATATAAAAATGAGATGAGGGTTGTATTTCTCTACAGTGTAAAAAAAACCCCACAAAAACAAAAACAAAAACCCAATATGCATACAAAGACAAAATTCCTTAAAAAGATCATTGACAAGATTATTTGCTTGTAGAGATCAGAGAGGGAGACAAACTGTGAAAGACTCTGGACTCTGGGAAACAAATTGAGGGTTTCAAAGGAGAGGGGGGTTGGAGTAGCTGGGTGATGGGTATTAAGGAGGACACATGTTGTGATGAGCACTGGGTGTTGTATGCAACTAATGAATCATTGAATACTACATCAAAAACTAATGATGTACTAAATGTTGGCTAACTGAACATAAAAAAAAAAAAAGATCATCGACTGTTGGATGGAGGAAGAGAGTCCCAACATGTTTTGGTTTATCATTTCTCTCCTTGATGTGTCTTTGTCCGTATAGATATGGTTCTGTTATACAAATTATTCACTCCACACAATCTTATTTTGGTATGCTCTTAAAAAATGAATCTGAGGGGGAGACGAACCATGAGAGACTATGGACTCTGAGAAACAACCTGAGAGTTCTAGAGGGGAGGAGGGTGGGGGGATGGGTTAGCCTGGTGATGGGTATTAAAGAGGGCACGTACTGAATGGAACACTGGGTGTTATATGCAAACAAGGAATCATGGAACACTACATCAAAAACTAATGATGTAATGTATGGTGATTAACATAACATAATTAAAGTTGGTTTCATGAAAAAAAAATGAATCTGAGCTATAGGCTTTGGGGTAAATCCCAAGAACAAAAATGTGTATATAATCATGTTTAGATGTTAAAATATCCTCAAGAACTGTTTTTTAAGTGTCTTAAAAGTCTCTCTCGGGGCACCTGGGTGGCTCAGTCGTTGAGCGTCTGCCTTCGCCTCAGGTCATGATCCCAGAGTCCTGGGATCGAGCCCCGCATCGGGCTCCCTGCTCTGTGGGAAGCCTGCTTCTCCCTCTCGCACTCCCCCTGCTTGTGTTCCCTCTCTCGCTGTCTCTCTCTGTCAAATAAAATCTTAAAAAAAAAAAAAAGTCTCTTTCTTTTCCATACAGTGGCTTTGCTCATTAAAAGAGAAATAAAAATCTCTTATCACCATTATTGATTGAGGTTTAAACATTAAGGTAACAATTTTTCAAATTAAATCTGTGTGTATATCCTAGTTTCACTTTCTTAATCAGTGTTGGTTGAAAACTTGGACCAGATTAGTTTTATCTCTTTTCAAAATCACTTATTTGTTTTGTGCTTCCATGTTCTATATATTTCATCAAAAACAAAAACAACAAACAAAAAACTTACAAGCATTAGCGTTAGAAATTTGTTGTAGAAAGGCATTAACAGAAATGCCCTCACTAGCTTTGTTGTTATGAGAAGACCTTGGGAGACATTCCTTTCAGAATTTAATTCCCAGGTAAAACACACCATAAGGAAGAACTTCTCCCTTTTTGATAATTATCACCATGGAACGTACTATAGTATAGTTTTACTTTGATCACTATAAAAATTAATACCGAAAGAACTTCAGCCCAGTGGTTACATTAAACTTATGCTTAGCTCATTTGCCTCCTCTCTGTTTCTTAGCTGTAGAAATAAAAAAAAAAATTGGACTGTTTTTAATCTTACTTCAGTTATTTTAGGGAAGGATATACATGAATACAATAAACAGATGAATAAATGTATCCATCTCATGTTTTCAGAAACAAGCATTTTCACTGACATTATTGCACTTTCTCTTCATCACACTCCAGGAGAAAGGAAAGGTTAAGTCGGTGTTTTACTCTAAATTTGATCATTGGAAACACTAAGGATCCAAGAGGATAAAGATTTACTTCAGCAATTCAGAGTGGTACACTGCAAAGGTCTTTGCATGTTTTGTTAAGTGTTGGTTTCCTGCTGCTTCCCCAGGGCTTGTGAACCACAGGGAAAGTACAGACTGGTTCCTTCTCACGGGCCCTCTGGGGTCTTGGTCTGTGATGTTAATGCCAGGACTTGACTTCTGAATCTAGAGTTTACTAGACCACAGCCAGGCCAGGGTTGTACTTTGAGTAGAGCAGTACTGAAATGAGAAGGACTCTGGCTGCTGAGTAGAACATTTCTGAAAGGTATATAATTGTTCTTATTTCCTGATCAAGTAAGATCATCAAAAGTGGACTCTCTTTTGAGCAATTATGGTGTGTGAGGTTGCTAGGTGCTTTCATGTGTATTGTTTCATTTAATCCATACAATGACCCTAAAAAAACATTACTGTGACCTTCATATTTTGGATGTATGTTCCAAAGCCCATTCTCTTTCAATTCTATGGGGAAATAGCAGGACATTTATACTACCATTAAAGGTAATAACGTTTAGAAAGACTTCTATTTGTTTCTTTTCAATAATATTTAACAGAAAAGGTGGGGTATTTCCTTTGACGAAAAGAGTACTGGAATATATATACGTGTACATACCTTTTATGTGGGAAGAAAATAGAATCTCTTGATCAACCCCTCCTTTATTCCGCTCATGTTTGACAATACATTTGTGTTCTTTATCCATTGACGCTCCAGTCACGGTCAGCCAGCTGAATTTCATGTATGTGTCATTAGTCTTCATGGTGTCTCCCTGCTGCGATTTCAGAATTGTTTTGCTATCTTTTTCTTTCCAATCTATCTTGATAACATCAGGGAAAAAATTCTCAAGAAGACAAAGATATGTTCCAGCCTTATGGAGTTCTCTCTCAGTAGTTGAAGGAAAAAAAATTGTGGGCTTAGGAGCAATGTTTGCATCAAGGTTTCTATCTGTGGGGGAAAATGGAATAGCAATTAAAAACATTATTAGAGAAACACAAACATTGTATGGTTTGGAACCACCTAACACAGTAAAATAAGGAAATTTGCCATAGAATTAGTGCTTATCACAGGCTTTTCATCCACAGTGGGTTATGAGGGACTGATTGTCCTTATTTTCAGTGGGAAAACAGGTACAAGAAGTCATGTAACTTGCTCAAAGTCACAACTATTAAGTGGAGGAGTCTGGATTAAAATGTGAGATTTTTTGAAACAATACACACATTTTGAATGGGAATCTACTGTAATGTGTACTTGACAATCTATCAAGCTGACCTTTAAATCCTCAAATATGTAACCCAAACCCACTTCTGAAGTAATGGAGGTCTCCTACTTAATTCCTGATTTTACAAAACATCTCAATCTCACATCTGAACCATTCCAGGATTTTGAGTAGGGCAATGTTTAAAACTGTACCTCCCAAGTATTTACAATGCCTTGAATTTAGAAGCAAAGTGTCAGTATTTCCAGAACTGTATTTAAAAACTTACTATTTTCAGAAATGCTTTTATATTAGCTTTATCAAGTAACACACTTACCAGAATTTTGTTTTGCTTAGGAAAATGTTCACTGAAAGCACATTTTATATTGGAATTTCATTTGTTGTTTAGATATGATTAAGAAGACACCATATTTTGATTCTCAGAGTCTCCCTTTAAAGTTGAATCTGCCCTAGACAGCTGCTAAACAGTTTCAGAACACCACAATATCTGTGATTTCACCTGCTGAATAAAATGTATATATAACTGTTGAAGTATAAAAAGTTATAGCTTCACTAATGACATACTGTATGTTGGCTAATTGAATTTAAATTTTAAAAAAGAAGTTATGGTTCCAGAATTTCTTGCAGTCATAACATCAAGACATATAACAAAACAGCATAGTTTTAAAGGGCATGTCACTTGACATGGGTATGTTACTTGATTATGCATTTATTGTTAATGATTGACATTATAAATGTTAGGACCCTTTAAAATTGATTTCCAAATGAAATGCAAGTGCTTTTCTGATATTCTTTTTGGGTTAGTTTGGAGTTAGTTTACTAATTCAATGGGCAATTTCTTAAGAAAAGAGGAATTGGATTTCTCATTTGAGAAGAAAGGGCAAAAATTCTTTTTTGGGGGGTGGTTCATAATACTTTCTCTCTTTTTTTTTTTTAGGAAAAAATTCTTGAGAATTTTTACCTGTGTAGCAAAGCTCCTGATTTTTATACTAAATCAGTAAGCAAGCAATTAGTTCCTATTCATGATATAAATAGAATTAGGTCATGATATACTTATTTTAAGTATACACCTTGGGGGCACCAGGGTGGCTCAGTTGGTGAAGCATCTGCCTTCAGCTCAGGTCATGATCCTGGAGTCCCTAAATTGAGCCCCATGTCAGGCTCCATGCTCAGCAGGGTGTCTGCTTCTCCCTCTCCTTCAGCCCCTCCCCCTCCCTGTGCTCTGTCTCTTTCTCTCTCTCTCTCAAATAAATAAATAAAATCTTTTTTTTTCTTTTTTAAAGATTTTATTCATTTATTTGAGAGAGAGAGAATGAGAGAGAGCACATGAGAGGGGGGAGGGTCAGAGGGAGAAGCAGACTCCCTGCCGAGCAGGGAGCCCGATGCGGGACTCGATGCAGGGACTCCAGGATCATGACCTGAGCCGAAGGCAGTCGCCTAACCAACTGAGCCACCCAGGCGCCCAATGAATAAAATCTTTTAAAAAGGCTTATATATCTTGCTTGTAGTGCAAATAATATTTTACTGATTGTAATAGTAAGACACTGTATATTTTTCCAACCATATACTTTGTTTTTAATTTAAAAAGCATGTTAGATAAACAAGATTAATTTTTCCATTTTATATGTTATTTACATAATTTTAGTCTCTAGTCAATATATTAAGGAATCTAATTTACATCTTAGAAACTGTATTTTTTTTATAGGAACACTTCTGATTCATTATAGTCAAGAAACTGAAAATCAAATGATGAATTTGAAAAATTTCTAGAAAGTAACACACTGTTTTATTGCCTGTCCCTTTTCTTTTGCTAGATTCTTGTTTTATTCTTTTCAGGATAAAATGAATCTTGAACTTCCACAATTTTCTCAATGGAATATTAACTGAGCATTAAAATAGTGTACTTGATTACATATAGTTAGTGCCTATATTTTGGGTAATTATACGGTTTTTTCTTCAACATTTTTTTTTAAACATTAACAGCAGTTATTATGGCCAAAATCATTTTTATGATGCATGAAGTTGAAAGCATATTCCAAAGTAAATAAGCCTGTCCAACACATTTATATACATTCATTGGAATAATTACAAAATTAAATTGTCAGAGTTATTTATATTTTATTAAGATGCAGCAGTGTGAATTCTATATAAATTTCCCAAATGTCAGCTACATTTCCAATGCAAGTGTGATATTTCAAACCTGCATATTGGTGTTGATTTAATTGTTCTCTATTTTTCTGTTATTTTTCTTTTACTAAATAAATAGAGCTATTTCATATTTGAATGTGAATTTCAAATTTATGGCATTTCTAACTTTATTTAAAGTACTAACTGTATTTAAAAAGTTTAAACTTTTTTCTAATAAATGCGAGCATGAAGGCCAAACTTGTTGGTGTCTGACCATGTCTGCCGGAGGTCACCATCTGTGAATGACATTAAGTGTCATGGTGCCCACAGTAATGATGCAGTGGGAGCATGAAATGTGCTTGTTTAAAGACCATTTCTTCCATTTTATAAAGTGGAAGTGGAAGGCAATGCCCACTCTTTCACTTCACATTCCTCCTAAAGGACTCATGCACTGAAGTCCTTTTCTCATTTTATGGTGGGAAAAGCATAACAAATTTGAAAATTTAGTGTACTTCATCACATTTTTCCCCTACCTTTGCTTTGAACATAAAATTTGACCCTGTGTTTCTTGATAGATAATCACAGGCCTTTTTCTTCTGCTTTCCTTAGTGCTTTTGATCTTCTATTTTTATTTCATGGCCTAACTCTACTTGTGTGTTTTATTTTAAGCCTTCTCAAATAGATTTTGGAAATAGGTAATATAACTAAGTGAGAAATAGTTTGTGCATTAGAGCTTGTTTCTTTTTCTGCCCCAGAACTTGATAGTTTGGTAAGGTCTAACTCAAAGATGACATGAAAAACGGGAGATGTTTGCAAATCCTGCTCTGAGATACAGACACAAAACATGTAGAATTCAAACACATTGAAATGCCAGAGCATAAGGTGAAGCTTTCGTTCCCAACATTATCCCTCACAAAACAGGGGTTGCCTTATGTTTCAGCCCCTCATATTAAAAGAGGCTCTTTTAATGCTTTACTTTGATCAAACAATACTACTTGGACAAGATATCAGCCTGAAATAAACTCAATGTTAGTTTTAGAGGTAGAGCTGGTAAAAGACAGCAAAGAAATTTAATATGGATTTGGTAAATATTACCTGGAACAAAAGTCTCTACATGTTATGCTTACATTGCAAAGTATAGAATACCAGAGTAAATAAAAAATGTTTTTTTTATAAAGATTTTTTATTTATTTGAGAGCGAGAATGAGAGACAGCATGAGAGGGAGGAGGGTCAGAGGGAGAAGCAGACTCCCTGCCGAGCAGGGAGCCTGATGCGGGACTCGATCCCGGGACTCCAGGATCATGACCTGAGCCGAAGGCAGTCGCTTAACCAACTGAGCCACCCAGGCGCCCCAATAAAAAATGCTTTTTAAAAAAATTTTTAAGAGGGTAATTTTCTCTTCAGATAAACTATCCAGGGACATCATCATAAGGGGATCTCAAAACAGACACTCAGACCCTGAGACGACTCAGAAATTTGCTCTGAAGTGGATGTTTTAGATGCATGTGAAGTGTTTGAACAAAATTTTGTAATGAAATTCAGGGCAGAAAAAGCAGTATTTTTCAACTGATATTTGTATTGATATAATTTTTAACTTTGTAGGTATAATTCAATTAAGATATTAAATATACAAGTGAATATTTGGCTTTTATCCATATCACTGTAAGTTTATATATTCAAATTGCAAAACCTCCTCCCTTTTTATGTCTGGATATTTCCACTGATAAATGAGAGACCACCTTATATTCAGGCGATATACTCACAATACTTGAGACAATGCTTATTACATTCTCATCATTTTTAGAATCAAGTGACAATGAGTCTTAGAAATTGAAGTATTCCACAAATTAGACCATTGGTTCTAAACTGATCTGTAGACTAGATGGTAATTATTAATATATTTTTCTGTACTCCTGATTTCATAAAGATATCCAGTAGGTGGTCATTTGAATTCTGGAGGATAGACATTCTTTATCACTGACCATGTCCCAATTTTTATGATAGCTATTTCCATATTTAATTTCATATACTCCTAGCACCATTCACTTGAGATTGTTGTTACATTGATAATATGAATGGATGGAAATCCAAGATGTTAACAGTAACAAGTGTCACTATAATATTTTAATTTTTTCTTTTCTAATTTTTCCATGAGCATATATCATTTTCATAATTTTAAGAAAGCAATAACAAGTGAATCAAAATTTATTTGCTAACAGATGATTATACAGAAAATGATAGATCCAGTTCACAGTCCATATTTTTTTTCTGCACCACACTCTCCTAAAAAAATTATTTTCAGGAACTCATGAATTATGTCTATGTCACCATTATTAAACTTGATTCCTAGAATTTGCATCGATCATGTAGTCAGTTGGAAAAAAGAGGACCAGAAACTTGCTTTTCAGTTTATGATACATTTGTGCCTATGATCACAACCACTAAGGAAAACTAAATATGTCATTTCTTTAATTTTTTCAATGTTTATCACCTTTGTGAAAATTCTTTCAAAACTTTTATTTGAAGGAACCTTGGTGGTTCAGTTGGTTAAGCATCTGAATTCTGTTCAGGTCATGATCTCAGTGTCCTGGGATCGCCCCGCATGGGGCTCCGTGCTAAGCAGTGAGTCTGCTTC